AAGGGACTGTACTACTGTGATAATTCGGGGGAAAGAGGAGGGAAATGAAGAAGGAAACGTAGGGGGAGAGAGGAAACTTTAACTGTATCATAGTAATTAATAAATATTTTGAATAATAATAAAATAATAATAAAAACATACTTATTAATATCAGCATCAAACATCATCTCCTAAGTTTGTCATCATGAACAATAGCATTGCTTCAATAAAAATTATGGCATCCTCTTTTCCTCTTAAGCATGCTCACACATTATCGCAATCATCTCTCCACTTTGCTATTCCCATATTCCAAAGCCTTCCATCTTTCACAATAATCTCCTGCCAGTTTAGCTACACAAGTAGATAATCTTAAGTATAGCCAGAATGATTTTCTTAAAATCCAAGTCTGGGGCCTGGAGCATGGCCTAGCGACTAAAGTCCTCACCTTGAACATGCCAGGATCCCATATGGGTGCTAGTTCTATTCCTGGCAGCTCCATTTCCCATCCAGCTCCCTGTTTGTGGCCTGGGAAAGCAGTTGAGGACTGCCCAAGGGCTTGGGACCCTGCACCTGTGTGGGAGACCTGGAAGAAGTTCCTGGTTCCTGGCTTCAATTCAGCATAGCACTGGCCGTTGTGCTCACTTGGGGAGTGAATCATGGGACGGAAGATCTTCCTCTCTGTCTCTCCTCCTCTCTGTATATCTGACTTTGTGATAAAAATAAGTTCATTGTGTATCCTGCTACCCTGCCACATTATTTTATGAGTTCCAATAGTCTCTTGATTGAATCTGTTGGTTCTTCTATATAGAAAATCATGTAATCTGCAAACAAGGATAATTTTAATTCCTCAGTTCTGAGAACTTCCAATACTAATTGAATAGCAGTGGTGAAAGTGGACCTCCTTATGTAGTTTCAGTTCTTAGTGGAAAAACTGCCAGTCTTTCCTCATTTAGTATGATGCTGGCATTGGGTTTTTTGTATATGGTTTTGTATTTTAGAATGTTCCTTCTATCTCTATTTTGCTTAAGGTTTTTAACATGAAATGATGTCAGATTTTATCAAATGCCTCCTCTGCATCTACTGAGATGATCATGTTTTTTTTATTTTCTATTTGTTGATGTGGTGAATCACATTTATTGATTTATAAATGTTAAACTGTCCCTGCATGTCAGGGATAAATTTCACCTGCTCCGTGTGCATGATCTGTCTGATGTACAGTTTGGTCCCGTTGGTTAGTGGGGTGTTTATTTTGTTGATTTTCTCAAAGCACCAGGACTTTGGTTCATTGATCTTATGTGTATATTTTTTGGCTCAACTTGGTTTATTTTCTGCCTTATGCTGGTTATTTCTTTTGTACTGCTAATCTTGGGATTGTTTTTGCTGTTGCTTTTCTAGGTCCTTCAAATGTATGGTTAGCTCATTTACTTGGTGTTTTTCTAATTTCTTAACATAAGTATTGATTGAGATGAACATTCCTCTTAGCACTGCTGTGATGGTGTCCCATCAGTTTTGATATGCCGTGTTGATGCCTTCATTTGTTTCAGTTTATTCAGTGACACATTGTTCATTCAGTTTTGGGCAGGGAAGAAGGGAAATCCTGGAACCTATAGGACTGTATCATGGAATAATAAAATAAATAAATTTTTATAAATGAAAGTCTGAACTTCATACTCTTTTGATTATGTTTAACCACAGGATAAAAACCAACAAATAAACATAAATAATAATCTACCTATATATCATATTCGGTGCTAGTTATACAAAGATAAATAGGACCTGGACTTGTACTTTTTTGTGAAGGTGTGAAGGCCACACTTGTTACCATCCTGTGCCTAGCCAGCCTGATCTCCTGCCATCCTGTTACTTGTTCTTTGATATACAGCCAAACTGGACTCCTAAACACACAACTCACCTTTTAATTACCCTTCCTACTCCTATTTCAATGTCAGATTTAATGCCACATGTGATAAAAACCTATCCCTTCTTCTAACACCAGAGAAGGCAAGCTAATTGTCCTATTGGTTGCAATCAGTTACTCTGTACCATTAGTGTGGCACATTGGACTTTGATAGCTAATGATCTACATTAGCTGTCTCCTAAGCTTCACTGCAGTTGCCTTTTAATAGGGTTCCTGAATCAGTCACCTGGATACCTGCATTCAACACTTTGTTTTTATAAATAAGCACTGAACTGCTCCAATCTGAAAGGGAACCGACAAGAGAAGGAGGTACTCAGGCCTAACTCACATTTCTAATTAATATGGTACTGTTTACTAAGGCAGAAATTCAACTTGGTTTTGTTTGTTCCTAGCATTGGGCTGTATACTTCTTAGTCTCAGTAAAAACAGCTTGGAGACAGCATAGGATTCTAGGTATATAGGATTTAAAATCAGGGAAATATGGTTTGGTTTGTGCTGGCTGAATGAATTTGAGCAGATCACATAGCCTTTGTGAAACCCAGCATCCTCCATGATAAAATAGGAATATCTACCCGACAGGTTTCTTGTTTTTTTTCTTTTAGAACAATATTTTATTTTGAAATTTGGAATGTTCACAGCATCAAAAATATTTGGCTGACTATATTTTGTATAATAAAATCACAATATACACATTATTTATTAACATGTAAAATCACCATTATTCAAAACTTGGTCTATTCAATCAGGGAGCAAAGGAACATTAAGAGAAGACTTAGAAATACAGAAAGTTGAAGAATAAAGATATTTTCTGGTAGTTACAAGAAAAAGTGGATCATCAAACACTTTTTCGGATAGACTCAACATTCAACAGAAGGAATTTGGTGTGTGCCTATGCGTATATGTGTGGCTTTTTAGGGGTAAATGTTGGAGCAAAAGCATGGGGTTCAGTCAACTCAATTAAGATTTCCTGAGGGCTGCGTACTGTGATGAGTACAGAGATGGTGATAAAAGAAATATTGCGTTAAACTCAATTGTAGATTATTATAATATTGTGTATGTGCTCTATTGGAATATAAATGACAGCTGTTTTTGAAAATTATGCAAAATTAGGTAAAGAAGCAGAAAAGAACATTTTAATTAATAAGCTCTAAAAATGTCATTTTCATTCTTTTTATATGAATATGAAGATATTTACATATAAAATGTTTCTATTTCAAAGATTTAGAAATTATTTAGAGAGATAAATCCCAAGTAAATATGCAGTTTTAAAAAATTTGTTTTGTATTTGTAAAATAATGCTTGCATCTAATATTATCTAAGTTTTCTGATTTTTAAAATATCTTTTGGGGGTGACATGGCTTAATTCATACTGTTGAATTTGAGGGGACATAGTTGAATTCATAATGTATATGATTTTATTTTGATTATTTTTATTTTATTTTAAAATTTTTTTAATATTGATTTTTATTGGAAAGTCAGATATACAGAGAGGAGCAGAGACAGGGAGGAAAATCTTCTGTCCGTTGATTCACTCCCTAGGTGGCTGCAGTGGCCAGAGCTGTGCCGAGATGAAGCCAGGAGCCCAGAGCCTTTTCTGGGGTCTCTCACGTGGGTCCAGGGTCCTAAGGCTTTGCACTGTCCTTGACTGCTTTCCTAGCCATCAGCAGGGAGCTTGATGTGTAGCAGGGGTGCCGGATTAGAACCGGCGCACATATAGGATCCCAGCACATGCAAAGCAAGGACTTCAGCTGCTAGGCTACCACGCTGAGTCCAGAACTAGTAATTTGTGTAATGGGGTCAATAATGGTCAGCAAGAACTTAATGAGAATTTCAGAAGGTAACTCATGTGAGTACCTGGTGTTAAATAGGTACTAAGTAAACATATTCTCTCCAACACACATGCACTCACCACACCCATGCCAATGCTGGATCACCCTCATGTTCCCCTTTTGACACTCCTGGTCCTGGACTACTGAATGAATAGTACTGGAGAAAAGAAAGGCTGAACTAGACAATTTCTGTGGGATCACTGCAGCGCCCCCTTGCCCCATCTCCTTTTGTCTTTTCCCTCCTCCTTCTCACTTCTTTCCAAGCTCCTTCTTCTCATTCCCCTTCTTCTAATATAAACTTCACTCTGATATGAACCCAAGTCCTGATATCCAGCTCTTAGGCTTCCTCTCATCCACTCTACTGACAGTCTGCTGACATCACAGCAAGGCAAAGCCTCTGAACAGAGCACAATGCCTGTTTTTGCTCATGCAAAGGCCCTGCAGAAAACCAGTCTCTTTCTTGATTATAAAATACATTTAAAGAGTATTTCTCTCTAGAGAAAAATATTTCTTGTGAGTATTAAGAATGAAATGATATCCCAAAGATCTCAGATGGTGCCTTCAATTTTCTAAGACTGAGCATTAACTCTCTCAAATAGCAATAATCATGGGGGCATGAGATGGGGAATCATGGAGTTAGTCACAGACATGGGTTCATGATGCCTTGAACCGTCTGTGAATCCGATTGCCTCCTCCTAGGTGTTTGGCTGTCTTGGCACTTCCTGTGAGTGAAGCTTAGATTTGTGTTTTCTCTTGAAATGAGTGTTCTGGTCCCATGAGACTCAGTCCTCTACTTACCTGCTTGAAATTAGTGAGTTTCTATTAGTGATACTCAGATTTCTAGACTCAGCCTGTCGTTGGGATAGACTGGATAGTACTTTATTTCTATATAAATAAATTGGGTTTTCCCACATTTTCCTGTGGAAGACTGGCCTGCAGGTTTTCCAAGGTATCTATTGTGTTATTCTTGGGAAATGCCATTGTTTCCTAGAAGAGACTTAAATGCTTAGAATATGGAAAATGGAACAGATAAATTTCAGCTGTGAGAAAGTTGATGCCATCAGTCTCTTCTTTACAGTTTGACCTTTAGTAATTATGGCTAGGCTGTGAATAGGCTGTGCATTCTCTTAGAAATCATAGCTGCTCAGGGATCTGTGCAGTCGGTCGGTTTTGTTTTTTATGCTTCTGTTTTTATGGAGAGTGTGTCTTATTTTGACCTTTGGAAGATAGTTTACTGAAAGTTGAAATTTTTTTTTCCTTTTTGTTTCACACAGATTCATGAAGGTGGCAGGAAGCACAGTGGATGCAGTTACCTGGCAACAGTAGGTATTCACTATTTTTGCTTTTACTTACTGCCAGCTGCTATGAAATAAAATGTAATTAGTTGTCACCAAGTTCATAGCTGACATTTACTAAGCTCTCATCTTTGAGAAAGAAATGTTAAACACAAGCTGTTACTACAGCATTGTAATGTTTGCTTTTGGGGGGGGTTGTTTTCAAAAGATAAAGCAAAAATACTGGCACGTGTTGGAAAGCTCAGTTATTATGTGTACCTTGAAATTAATCTACCAGAAGTGAAAGGTAATGGGGATCTAAGCATATTGCCATTTTCCGTAGGTTTTGCCTTTGGGAATAAATTTCCTTATCTAAAAATAGGAAGTAATTTTTCATTGCTCCATTTAGCAATAGAGAAAAACATATAAAATTTATAATTCTTGTTTTGAAAAAGAAAAATAGAAATATTTCTTTATATTAATATAATTCTCTTAATAAGTGCCAAGTGACTCACTTATGTGAAGCAGGTTCAGAGGAATAACAGCATCAAGAAAATAAAGCTGCAGAAAGAGAGGAAATATACTCCAGCATTCCACGAAGAAAATTTCCATCAAAGTCCTGCAATCCTGAGGGCAGCTTTACTTACAGATACAATTAGCGGATACATAAAGTTCAATATTCTATCGGTCTCCATAGGATGTTTGTCCACGTCACACTGTCTCTCCAGTGATACTGGGTTCCTGTTCTTTCCTGTAAGAATGTGTCTCCTACCATCTTACAAATCGTTTCACATTTAACATTGTGCTAACTGGGCAGACGTGTTCCCATTTGGGATCCCCACAGCCCATGGCTGTGACCTTCTCTCTCAGTAATGCTAACCCTGTCCACCTAGTGCTTAAGACCTTATGGTCAGCCTTCTGTTTTAAGTGAATTACATTATCCACAGTGGATTCATGGTGATTACAAAAGAAGCAAAAATGTATGAAAATTTTTCATAAATTTCTGAAGGGAATTTTGCTTTGTCATCACTAAGTAACTGTGATTCATAATGGGAGCTATTTTACTCTGAATTTCCATGCACTGTTAGACACAAAACAACACATTTCAAATATTTGTGGAAATTCTTTTCCTTCTTCAGTTGTTTTGAGAGTCATAGATTGAATATGTTTGAGGATCTTGTTCTTTGTCTTAAAAGCCTGCCATATCTTTCCTTTTCTACTTAGGCTGAAACCCAAACTCTGCTCTAGCCTTTTGTGTTTTGATTCTGTGTCTTCCAGTTACACCTGAAGCATCTTGCCCTTACTCATTCTGCACCAGCACACTGGAGACTTTGCAGTCCTTTGAGGACTTGTATACATGTCTGCCTCAGGATTTTTGTGCATGTGAAATGTTTTCTCCCCACTCTGGCTGGCTGGCATCGTCTCATCTTTCAAGGTTCATCTTACCTGCCATCTCATTAGAGAGACCTCTTGATAACATTACCCAAAATAGGTCCCACATTTAATTCTTCTTAGATCTTTTTTTTTTCCATAGCAATTACAATAACTTAGATGATTTTTGTCTCATAGCTTATTTTTAAATTTTCTTTTTCTTCAAAGTTACTTGTTTAATTTACTAATAATATACTAATTATCTATTAGGTACTTTACAATAACAATGATCATAATAATAACAGAGTTTCAGGAACTATTCTCAAATTCTGTATATTTGATTACATTTGATTCTCCTGACAGTTAAATGAGGCAGGGACTATCCTTATCTCTGTTTTTCTGTAACTTAGGAAGTTGTAAAAATTCAAAAGTGGCAAGATTTCAAAATTACAGTAGAATTTGTCTCATGCAAATGATTACTGTCTTAATTATGACCACATTGATAACAAAGCAATGTCTGTTTACTTAAATTCTGTTCAACATTCTCACTAAATACTATCTGGTTAACATGGTATACAGGCTGAATCTTGGGGAGTGTCTTGGCGTGTCAAGTTAAAATTCTACCTGCAGCACTGACGTCCCATATGGGTATCAGTTACAGTCCTGGATGCTTCGCTTCCATTCCAACACCCTGATAATGGCTGGGGAAGGCAGCTGAAGGTGGCCCAAGTGCTTTAGGCCCCTTCATCCATGTGGAGACCTGCTCCAGGCTCCTGTTTTTGGATTGGCCCGGCTTCACCCATTGTTGCCATTTGGGGAGTTAACCAGCAGATGGAAGAGCTCTCTTTCCGTCTCTATCTATTTTACTTTTATTGGAAAGGCAGATATACGAAGAAGATCTTCTGTCCGATGGTTCACTCCCCAAGTGCCCACAATGACCGCTGCTGTGCTGCTCCGAAGCCAGGAGCTCTTCTGAGTCTCCCACATAGATGTAGGGTCCCAAGGCTTTGGGCCATCCTCCACTGCTTTCCCAAGCCTCAAGCAGAGAGCTGGATGGGAAGCAAGGCTAACGGAATTAGAACTGTTGTCCATATGGGATCCCAGCATATGCAAGGTGAGGACTTTAACCATTACACCATTGCACCAGGCCCAAAAGTACATAAATCTTAAAAGGATTTTTTTAAAGGCTAAAGCTCAAAGAAGTTGCAAAATTTGTAGAGGGAGACAAGTGAGATTAGTATAAGAAAGTTTTTGGTATAGAATGCATGGTGTCAGTTGTGATAACTAACGAAGTTCAGAGAAGATTTTTTTCTGTGTTCTGGCACACTCCATGACACAAGCAGAATGAAATGAGCATAATGGAAAGAGGAAAGTAATGGAAAGAGGAATTTTTAATAAATGCATTTTGTTTATTATCTCTTTAAAGCATTGTTCATGTCTCAAGATAAATATCACACAGTTACAGCTACCCGGCACAGGGTTGGGGCGGGGTGGGCAGGGGAACAGAGAGGTTGGTTTCTTTTTCTCCAGGAAGAGCACTCATTGGTATACATCTTCTAGCACCTGGAATCTACCACTTATCTCTTCAATTGTAGTGTTCAGTTAAGACGTGGTGTAGTCATGAAAGCAGCCCAGGAAACCCTGATTAGGAGGACTCAGTAGAAATTAAAGTCAAATGCCTATTTCTTCAAATCTGGAAATTATGAGTCATCTTAAAAAAAAAATAGAATTTGTCATTTGTGACTATATGGATATACAGATGGCTAAAAGAATTAATTCAGTGTTGATGAGCAATGGATTTTGAACTTTACTTTGAATAACCAGAACTTTGACTATGAATATAAAAAGAAACTGACTGTTTTTGGTTTGGGAACTTATACTTTGGGATTACTGTATTTTAAAAATTTGTTTGAAAGGCAGAAACAGGCAGGCAGACAGAGAGCTTCCATCAGCTGGTTCACATCCCAAATGCCTGCAATCCTTGGAAAAGCTAAAGTACAATTGAGTCTCCCACATGTGTAAGAGTGAATCATTGCCTGCTACCTCAGGGTATGACGTCTGAATCACAGCAAGCAGGAACAGAGCCAGGCCCTGAACCTAGACATGCCATCTGATGCAGAATAAATGTGTCTTCGCTGGTGTCTTAACTGATAAACCAAATACCTACCCACATTTCACCATATTTCGAGAACAGATATATGACTTAATCATTTGTCCTGCCCACCTACCCATGTAGGAAATCCAAAAATACTTAAATAAAAATCTAACTATAAGAATAGTAGAGTGGCTTACATCAGAGTAACACTCATATAGATAGCAGTAATTTTTTTTTACATATAAAGTATTGAAAGGAAAAAAAAAACACTAGAGAATGACAAACAGAAGAAAGGAACTCCTTCTAGAGGACTCCTGCAACCCTGCTGGCTGAGATTTCCTTGTATGTGGCACTATTGTTCTTCAGTAACGTTGCATCCTGAACTACCTAGAACTCACATAGAAGTACATGATTGTATTAGCTTGTTGTGTCAGAAAGAGTCAGAGGCCAGACCTTGAGGGAGGAGATCTTAGAAAGAAGCAACTACAGCAGGAAAAATGTCAACTGTGCTTATAGACTTCTCTGAAGTCTTTGATCTCTAAAATATTTGTATTTGTAGATTGCTTTGGGACCCGAACAACAGCTGGAAACCTGAAAATGTCTCTTCTTTTTATCTACTTAATGTTTCTTTTTGAGATAACATTTTAAAAAATATTTACTAACAAAAAGATAACATAGCATATATTTCTTAGATAAAATTATGAGAACCATACTTGCCTCCCTTCCTTTCTTCCTCAAATCCTCATCCTTCTTTCTTTTCTTTTTCCCTTAATTTTTGCAGTAACATTTTTTGTATTTCATATGTACATATTTAAGAACATAATATATCTCACCATACCCTCTCTCACTCCCTCCCTTCCTTGTTATTTTTATTTTTACAGCGACACACTTTCAACTTTATTGTTTATGTTTACATATTATATGTTATAAAGAAAGTTAGGCTTGTGATTCAAGCCTCATTGCCACTATTTAAGTAAGGAATTCGACATGTAGTGAGTAGAAGAAAACGTGTTGACAGCGATTTCAGCTCCTTTCTGTAACATGTGAAATAGAGTTTATAACCTGAATATCAGAAATTTGGAGGGACATGATAAATACCTTGTACCTTACACTGAAATCAAAAAGTTTTACATTAAGCATGAACTTTATATCCCAGGATTAAGTACTTACTCTAAGATTAACAATCAAATAGTTTTACCAAAAGTGTAAATAATGCTTCCTCATGAACAAAGTGTATGCCAGACAATAGAACACTGTTCAGCAAAATGAAGGAAAACTAATGATACATGCACAGCATTATGAATTTCAAAATCATTATGCAGAATGAAGAAACCTATGCAAAAGAAAGCACACTTTTGTTTTCTCCAAATTATGAAGTTTTATGAGATTTAAAGAATCAGAACATTGACTGTTTCTGTGGATGTGGCAGGTGGAGATGTCAATTGCGAGGGAAAGGGGCATTAGGGAATTTTGTGGCATGATAACAAATGCTCTATATTTTGTAAGGGAGTATGTATTTGTTGAACTTCATTAAATCATATGCCTAGTATTTGTGTATCTCGTTATAAATGAAATTTTCTTA